TATATATATATATATATATATATATATATATATATATATATTGCATGACAACTACGATATATTGGGGTGAAAAATTTGCGTTTTAATTGAATTGTTTCCGCCTTAGGGGCAAACAAATGCAGAAAACCTAGAATTGTTTGTTCAATAGTATTGCTGCAAAAACAATTTAAAAAGAAGACAAAAAGGGAGGCTGTCTCTGTTCATCAGGTGTACGTACACCTGAGAGCGACGCCCTACGCCTCAACAACCCGTGATACATTATATCTATAATAATAATAAAATAATAATAATAATAGTGGTATAATATCTCAAACATTATATTTTATAATATAAAGTATATTATTATTTGTATACTGCTTGACGAAGTATATTATTAGAGAGTACTATTCTACTATATTAATATATGATATTACATATTATAATAATATTATATTACATTATATTGTACTAATATTGTATTACATTATATTATATTACATTATATTATACTATATTATATTACACTATATTACATTATACTATCAGTTGTACGCCCCACTGATTGACGTGAGCTCCACGTACAGCCCAGAAGGGCCACCTAGACAGCTGATGCCGCACCCTTAAACCCTGAATATCTGTCTGTCTTCCTTCGCTACGCAACCTATAACTGCTGCTGTTGCTGCTGCTGTTGCTGCTGCTGTTGCTGCTGCTGCTGCTGTGGTGGGGCGTCTGCTGCTGCAGTTTTGCCGTTTTTTTTCTGTTGCAGCAGAAGCAGCAGCAGCAGCGTCAGAAGCAGCAACAGCAGAAGCAGCAGCATGTGTCCAAGGAGAGAGGCACATCAACATCTAGATTAAGAAAAGCAGAAAAGAAAAAAAGAAAGAGGAGGGCGTTGGGGTGTACGTACGCGTGCATGCAGCGTTCGTGTTCAGCCTTTCACCGGCCACACACCAAGCAACACCTATAACAAATACATATATATATGAATAAATAAATAATATAAATATATGTATATATATCAACCTCAGCAATTCCCCCGTCTACAACACCACAACTCAACGCCCTCAAGCAGCACCGCCAAGACAAACAAACAACACCAAACCCCAACGCTAGAAGATACCCCCAGGGGCCCCCAAAGGGCCCCCCAGGGGCCCCCGAGGCCCCTGCGGGTTCCCGAAGAACCCACCCTACAGGTCCTAAGGGGCCCCCAAAGGGCCCCCACAGGCCCCAACCTAGAGGGGTCCTTAGGGGCCCCTTTAGGCCCCTACAAGCCACAACCTAGAGGTCCTTAGGGGCCCCTTTAGGCCCCTAGAGGCCCCAAGTAGAGGGCCTTAGGGGCCCCCAGGGGCCCCCATCTGTTGCTCTCAGTCGCCGCACTCCATGCTGTCGGGGTCAGCACTGGCGCTGCCGCCAGGCACAGGCGGAGGGGGCATTGAAGGAGCAGAAGGAGGAGGTGCAGAAGGAGGTGAGGGGCCCCCTTGCAAAGCAGGAGCAGGCGCTGAGGGGCCCCCAGGGGCCCCCCCTGGGGCACCCTGCATGGGGCCCCCACCAACTGGAGGGGGGCCCCCAGGCCACTGTGCCCCAGGCGGTACCGGCATATACCCCATAGGGGGCCCCATGGGGCCTCCCCACATACCTGCAGCAGAACAGCAGCACGGCAGCAGCTTCAAAAGAGTGAAATTCTCATTAAGAGGAAGACAGCCTGCAGCTGGGGTGTCTATACAGCTTAAGCTACAGCAGCTGCAGAAGCTGCAGCGGCTGGGGTGTCTGTACAGCTAAAGACGCTGCAGCGGCTGCTACAGCTATTACTGCAGCTGCTGCTACAGCTACTACTGCAGCAGCAGCAAGAGCTGCTGCAGCTGCTGCTGCAGCTGGGGTGTATGCACAGGTGAAGGGGGCGGTGCATGCATACCCATCATAGGCATTCCTCTGTCTCCTCCATAGTGTTGATTAGGAGAAGCAAAATTACCCATGGGCTGCATTGGCCAGGGCATCCCTCCTGCAGACAGCAGCAGCAGCAACAACATATAAATATAAACATAAAAATAAAAATAAAAATAAATATAAATAGAGCAGCACTAACAGACACCCGAAACACAGAGAATGCAGCCTACAAAAACAGCTAGTGCTGCTGCTGCTGCTGCTGCTGCTGCCGCTGCTTCTGCTGCTGCTGTCTCACCAGGTGGCATGCCCCCCATAGGCATCATGCCCATAGGCGGAGGCCTCATGGGGCCCCCAGGCCAATGCATATCTCCCCCCATTCCCTGATGGGGGGCCCCCCCTCCGGGGCCCCCGGGGCCCGCTGGGCCCCCTGGGCCACCACCCCAAGGCCCCCGAGGGCCCCCCGCGTTCATCTGCATCATATGAGGAGGAGGGCCCCCCATGGGGCCCCCCATAGGGCCTCCCATGGGGCCCCCCATAGGGCCCCCCATGGGGCCCCCCATCCTTCCTGGAGTCAATACAATTGGCGGCGGAGGCGGGCGGCTCCCTGGGGGCCCCCCCGGCCCATCAGGGCCTGAAGGAGACATCCCTGGAGGTGGAGTGTAACCTTGTGATGCAGGAGAAGCCCCTGCAGGGCTGCCTGTATGAGGGGGGCCCCCAGGGGCCCCCGGGGCCCCCCCTTGAGGGCGTGGGCCGTCAAGGGCCCCTAAACCTGACTTCTCCCCGCTCAGTTCATCCATCATGCGGCGATATTCCTACGGAAACATCAATTAAACAGCAAAATGCAGTTTGTTTAAAGTTGATAACAGATTGAAAAGACAAATTCAGGTGTACATACAACCCAAATGACACATCTGCAGCAATACTTAACCCTACTTCCTTCTACCTCAAACTGTCTACGAAGCACAGAACAAACACATGCATGCATACAATACTTGCAAATATCTGAGTATACACCCCACCATATCAATTCTGTAATTGTCAGGGCCCCCGCGATAAGGATAAGGCTGTCGTCCGCCCATAGGTGGAGGCGGGGGAGGCCGAGGGCCCCCATGGGGGCCCCCAAGGGGCCCCCCATGGGCCCCTCCATGGGGGCCCGCATGAGGGCCCCCAGGGGGGCCCCCCCCCTCTGTACGCCGCATCTTGCAGTCCATCGTGACATGCCCCAGATCACCGCAGATAGCGCAGCGCTGAGGTGAAGACAAAAAGAAAAAAAATAACAACGCGAAATACAAAATCAAATCTAATAAAAATAAAAGAGTTTCTTTTCCTCGTTTTGGTACTGTGCATATGGGCTGCTAACTCTTTAAAGAATGGCGTGAGTTTGAATGTTCTATAATAAATAAATAATATATATATATACATAATAAATGCTGTAAAAATAAATAGTTTATATATACTGTACAACATATATTGTTTATATATTGCACTCAATAATATTTCATTCTAGTAAATAGATTAGATGGAGTATGATACTAAATATATTGCGCGTGCAGCACTAAACAAATACTGTCAATTATTATCGAAATACCCACCACTTCAGGCTTCTTGAACGGCTGCAGTTCTTGGTTGTCCGGGCACTCATGAGCTGTACGTACACCGCAAACAAAAGGAAGGCAGCAGATAAAAACAAGTCTTATTTGCTGTCATTGTGAAGGGGTGCAGAGGAAAAAGAGAAAAAATATTATCGCAATAAAACAAAACTGCCAGAACTATTCAAGTGCACATACATAAATATATACTATATAATATATATCATATGTAATATAAATGCATATCTATATATGCATACATATATATATATATATATATATATACATTGCATTGATTATACATATATGCAGGCACATGAACCCCAGAAACCTACACATATCTATAGCATCCTTAGAGTGTATATATTCTCCATTGTACATCACGCATAATGCATATTTATACAAAAACGCATCATATATAAAATACAACTATATATATATATATATATACATATATATACATTCGTACCAAGATGTCCAAGTGCCTGGCAAATGGCGCATCTTCTTTGGTCTAAGTCTGTATAGTTAACTCCATTAACGAGCGCAAGTTGTTCAAGACCTCTTCTTTTGAATTCTTCATGTGCTGGATGTAGTGGATCGAGCAAAGGCTCCACGAGGGCGACAGCGCGCTGTACGTACACCCCAACGAAACGGAAATCTGAAAACGTGAATAATGTGTGGAAAAAAGGGTGCGATCTTCAGGGGAAAGCTGCATGAAATTGAATTTTTAAAAAATAAATCCATCCACAATGCACTAATATTTGTTTTTATTCAAAAGATTCCGAAAAAAACTGCTATTTTAACCCCAATTTACCTCAACGGCCTCGTCAGTATCCCCCATGATATGAACGTGCATCGGCATGCTGGCTTCTTCATCAGTCTGATGATCGCGCTTTCCTTCTTTCTGCATTTCCACACCACCAACAGCAGCTACAACCATAATTAATTCGTTCTTTCCGCTGTATATGCTCATGCATACATGCATACATGCATGCATGCAGCAGCACAATACGAGAAATCAATTATGCATCACCTGTGTGCCTTTCCCTCGAACAGATATCGTACATCCGCTCTCCGCCTCCAGCCGTTTGTGGTTACAGCCACGAGGGCCGATGATAATACCCATGAAGTTGTAGTCAGGGTACTGAAGAAACAAGCATATATATATATATATATATATATGATTAGCTCAGCAGCAGCACCAGCAACCAGGACAACAGCAGCAGCAACAGAACCAGTATCACCATCAGCAGCAACAGCAGCAACAACAAAGCAATGGCAACAGCATTATCAGCAAAAGCAGCAAGAACAGCAGCAGCAGCAGCACCGTAACAGCAGCAGCGCCACCACCATCAACATCGTGAGTAAGAACAAGAAGAAAAACAGCAAAAAAGACAGCAACACCATCAGCAAGAACGCAGACACCTCCTCCACCACAACAAACAACAACACAATCATTATCATCAGCAGCAGCAGCAGCAATTGCAGCTGCAGCAGCATTTGCAGCTAAAGCAGCCACAGAAGCATTTGCAGCTACAGCAGCATTAGCATCTGCAGCAGCACTAGCAGCAACAGCAGCACTAGCAGCAACAGCAGCACTAGCAGCAACAGCAGCACTAGGAGCATCAGCAGCACTAGCAGCAACAGCAGCATTAGTAGCATCAGCAGCATTAGGAGCTGCAGCAGCAATAGCAGCAGTATGAGCAGGAGCAGGAGCAGCAGCATTAGAAGCCAAAGGAGGTGAGAAATGAAATACCTTTTCATGTGGAAATTCAATTCTACGTATCTTTTTAGCAGGTCTAAAGTCCGGGGGCGGCGTAAAGCCCTCTAAGTTGGAGACCATGAATTCGCATAGATGCTGAACTTCATTCTGCATAGCAGTGCGGACTCGAACATCTCTTGTATTAACTCTTCCCCCGTTTTTATCGTAGACAGGGGGAGGTGAAGGGGGCCTTATATCTGCATCAAAGAACTCTAATATGCCGTTGTTCAGCTTTCTATATAACTCTTCTAGTCGCTGTTCTCTTAGAAATCTGTCGACTTGAAGAGGCGTCATTCCAATCGGTAAGTCGATAAAAGGAGGCGGTAAAAAGGGCTTGTCCTGCATGCAACACGCGGCTGTATACGCACCTCCCTGTGCTACACTCTAAGCAGAAACAACTCTATGAAACTGCATATCATCAACTTATATACACACACAGATTAACGCAATAACAAAGAAATAAAGACAGAGATAGAGACAGAGAGAGAGAGAGCAGCACTATCTGCTGCTGCTGCACTTCAACCAACCCAACCCATCATCTGCTGCTGCTATTAACATAAAGCAGCAGACAAAGAGATCTGCATGCAGCAACTCTTGCAAAGCCCCAACGGAGCCACAAGCAACCGATGCACAAGCAGCAGCAGCAACAGCAGCAGCAGCAACATCAGCCGAGCAGAAGCAACCACAACAACAACAGCAGCAACGGCAACAGCAGCAGCAAGACCAGAAACAGCAGCAGCAACACCAGCAGCAAAACACCAACAGCAGCAGCAGCAAAACAACCACAGCACCAGCAGCAGCAGCAACAGCAACAACAGCAACAGCAGGAGAAGCAGGATAAATAAGACGTTAATGCATGAATGATATTAGAAGGCGTGTTGGGGTGTTTAGGGAGGTGCTGACTGTCTCGCTACCCCAACGACTTCCGTCTGCACTTTTCTTTGATTTCTCCCAGCGCGACTTTCTTCCTTTTTCTTTGTGCGTCATCGCTGCCTCGAGAGGCACAAGGGCCATTAGTTGTTCTAGAGACATTTTGTTAAAAGAGTTAAACAAGAATGATATAAAAAGAAAGATAAATGAACGAAAGACTGCGCGCAAAGAGCTGCAAAAGAAGCTGCTGAGTTAATTTGCTGCTGATATTGAGGTAAAGCAAAGAAAAAAAAGCACCTTTATATATAAATTATTTATTTTTTTATTGTTATTTTGAATCTATCTATGAAATATAAAAGAGATAAAGAAAAAGATAAACACATTTATAAACAGTAAGGGGCATGAAGCCCCACCTAAGACTTTTACCTCAAGCTGCCTGTCTTTCAATAAATACTGCAAAGAGATTAATATAATAAAGCGAAGAAAGCCAAGAATAAACACAAAAGAAACAAACAAACAACCGTCAAAACCTCAGGTGTACGTACACCAGGTTCTGCTATCACTCCTCCGCATATATACAAACAAAGCGCTCTCTTTAATAGATACACAAATATATAAAAAGAAAATAAACATTAAAAATGCATATTTTCAATGCAAATCAATAAAAACAAAACCGTCAACTCTTGCTGCTTCACAGATAAAGCCCCAAAGGGCCCCGTTTTATTATTATTTAGGCGATCGCCTCTATGAGGGGCCCCTGACTGCAGCAGCAGCAGCAGCTGCTGTTGCTGCTGTTGCTGCTGCTGCTGCTGCTGCTGCTGCTGCTGTTGCTGTGTATCGAAGCAGAGGAGGTTCTCAGGAGGATAATTTGATTTATTTAAATCATTTTGATGGAAATAATGTGCAATTGCATTTACTAAAACATCAATAACGCTAATAATTAAGAAGATATGTAATATACAACTGCAACTAACGAACGGCATAGTGTGTACCTAAGACAACAAACAGCAGCCGGTTTTTCTTCTTTTTCAAATAATTACAATAAAATTCAATTAATTTGAAAGAAATAAATTTCATTTCTACAAATTTTCCTTTCTTTTCTCATCATGTGTTGGGGTGTATCGGCAGCCCTGTTGGCGTGCAGAGGTCTTTGCATGATTCCTCTAAATTTGCATTATTTTTCATAATTTTTTGAATAAATATTCTTTATTATGAATAAAAAAGGGGACTTTGTGCATATATCTAGACAATGAGGCGTAAAACAGCCGAAAAACAAGAAAAGGAAGAAGAAGAAGAAGGAGAGGGTTTCCTACGTTTCAGGTGTATGCGCACCTTCAATTGCGGCTCAAGTTCAGTTAATTGTCTTCGCTTTTTCGGTGACTCAGATCATTTATTAGCGGGGGCATCAAATAAACGCATTTACCTCTTGGGCGCGCAACTGGGCATACTTCATGAATTCGCAGGTTAGTCTATATTATATATATATATATATAATATCTAGGTATATTAGATATATATATGTATATATGTTATATATATATATATATATTTAGGTGTACATATATATGTTAAATATATATGTATATGTATGCGCATTATATTGCAGTAAAAAGAGTTATTATACCTATTATTTGTGTTTCTCTTTCTTCTCCAAGCACTTTACTTTATTTTGAAGTTTTTAATCTATTATTTAGATGCACAAGCACATATAAAAAGACTGCAAACATCGAAATATAATTGTCTGGGGCATACGTAGCTGTACATACACCTGAAAGCTGCTACGCCTTTAAGTTGAGTCGAGGGTTCATTCAAGAAATGATATTAATTTTTATTTTTTAATTATTTTCATCTTTCTGTTGGATATACTTCTGCGTTTGTAGATGCCTCCTTTTCTTTTTGTTTTTGTTTATTTTTTTTTAATTATGTTGCTGCTGTCTCTGCCGCTGTCTTTGCGTTCTTCACTCCATATAATAATAATAATAATTTTTATTATTATTATATTTAATAGTAATAATAGTAATAATTATTATTATATTTAATAATAGTTATAATTATTATTATCTCGAATAAACTATTATTATTAACCTATTTAATAATAATTATTATAGCCTGCAGCCTTTCTTCTTTGTAAAGCAATATTTATTTATTTATTTATTTATTTAATTTATTTATTTATTTAATTTATTTATTTATTTTTGCTTTTAGGAGAACACACGGATGCAGTTGCATGCATCGGGGCCGACGACTCCTCTACGCATCTCTTTCTCTCTGGGGGTTTAGATAAAAGAGGTATATATTTAATTTAATTTAATTTAATTTAATTTAATTTTATTTTATTTTATTTATTTCATTTATTGGTTTTGTTTATATTATTTTTTTTATTAGTAGTAAATAAACAACAAAACAAGTAAAACAAAAAATAAATATACACCTCAGACACAACACACAGAATTTTAATTCAGAGATTAAATCCCTTCAATATATTTATCACGTTGCATGCATTCATCATTTGGGGCTTTACAAATTGCTGTTGTTGCTGCTGCTGCTGCTGTTGCTGCTGCTGTTGCCGCTGCTGCTGTTGATGTTGCTGTTGCTGCTGTTTGGGGTGTCTGTACACCTCATTAAAATGCTGCAGGTATTCTGTGGGATGTTCCAACCGGAGAGGCGCTGCGGCAGTTTCCGCGGACTTGTGCGTTTGCCTGTTTAGGGTTTAGGGTTTAGGGTTTAGGGTTTATGGTTTAGGGGTTTGTGGCTTTTATTCAGAACAAATGCAAACAAAACCAGAGAACAAACAGCAACAAACAGTTAACAGCAGCAACAGCAGCAGCAGCAGCAGCAGCAGCAGCAGCAGCAGCAGCAGCACTTTGGTATTTACGCGTCGCATGCGATCCTAATAACACCACTAACTGCCTCATTAATTAATTAATTAATTAATTAATTAATTAATTAATTAATTAATTAATTATTGTTGTTGTTTGCTCTTGCTGCAGCGCCAATCCACGCTTGCCTGTTGCGCA